CCATTGTATATTGATCTTTTAAATGTTTTTTGTGTTGCTATTATCTGTAGTGGCTACTTTCAAAGCTATTAAGACACAAAAAATCTGAATGTTAAGTTTATTCTTTTCATTTCAATGTCTTCTACATGCTAAAGGCTGGGAAAAATTCTTAAAACTTCATCCAAAAATGTTCCATATCACCTGTGTTATTCGTGTCTCCGTCAATTAGTTAAAAATATAAGAATTTGCGTTCCTTCAATCAATGCAGTGAAAAAAGTGTTTTTGAAATGCCTCAAGATGACAATGTTTAGAGAAACTCTTCCAAATGTTCCTTTGCATCACTGCCAGTTTTGACCCATGGGGCACATAGTTAGAAGTTGTATTCTACTATGCAAACTATACTGAAGCAATAGATAAGGTTGATAAGAGAAAATACTTTTAAACAACTTACATGCTGATTCTGTTTATTTTATTTCAGTAATTCAAATATTTGATTATAATGAAGATGAAACAATTGAGGATACAAAAGTTGCAATGTCTTGCTGCTCAGTTAAAACAGATTTGGTATACATCCAAAATAATTTTGGAGATATTCCAAATCATATTGCTGAACTGGAAAGGAAAGAACTGCTACTGATGAGAGCTGTTGATATCATTTATGAAACCAAAATAGTCTCTTTACAGCCCCTGGCAGAGTTGCATTAACAATTTCAGCAAAATATGAAAAACTTACAGAAAATTATAAAAAATATTCCAGATTGGCTAACAATAAGTAAAACTGTAGAAATTCTATCAGAAACTTGAACATCTACAACAGACCTTAAATATTTTCCAAGTGAAATTGATGCATTCAAGTATGTACCAATCATATCCTGAGGCAGAGAGAAATTTCTTTCATTTAAAACATATTTTAAGAGACAAGAGAACTTTTTCTTTGCAATTTGGAAAAAGTGTTTATAGCTTATCATCATAATATTGTAATGAAAAAATTATTTTAAAGTACATACAATAAAATATATACAGATTTTTTGAGTGTTTCTTGTCCTTATTTTTATTATTTTAAAAATTAAGCAATATAACAAAAACTCTATGGATTAATTTGAGTAATTTGTTTTACATAATAACTTATGTAAAACAAATTACTATTGTTTACATGAAATGTTAGTATATAATTGGTTGCACACTATTCTTTGAATTAGTTTGATTAATATTGAGATGTAAAAGCCTATTTTCAGTATTAGTGCTTATTAATTTGATTATTTTGAATTTTTGTGTGTTTAGATGTCATAGCCTTAATTCATTACAAATGTACTATTCTTTTCTCAACAATATTATAATAAAACAATGTTAGGTGAGATTTTGCTATGTATACCAATGTTTCCTCTAATTTTTTTTGTAGATGAGCAGAACATATACTTCTCTGAGCAAAAAACATTTTGCTGTGCAGATTGAGCAAAAAATTTTTGAGCATATATATATAAAAAAATAGTTAATTATAAAGTAGAGATTAAAATTCATTTTAAAACATACTTTTATACAAAATATTATCTTTTGTCAATGATTTAATGTTTTCATTCGAAATATATGCAGCAATAATCATGTTGCAGACAGAGAGAAATAAGTAAACAACAATTCAAATCAATGTGCATGCTTGTCTGCACAGTACATAAATTCTTGTGTGGCAACAATTTGAGCAGTGTGCGACTATGCATCTTAGAGGGAACAATGATGTATACACTACATTCACCCTTGATGTTCATGGAAGTCAGTGTTCAGGAATTTGATCATTTGTGACTGAAAATTTATGCACCAAAATTTCAACTTTCATGAAAGATTGATCTCTTGGAAAATGGGAAATTATGTACTACTGTAAACTGGAGTTGTGTGAATTAAATGTCCAAACAGGTGCAATGCTAAAAGATCATTGACATCACTCATTCTTATGATGTCTGTCATAAGTTATGTTACTGTTTTGTTTATTTTTTTTCTTTTGGCTTAAGTAAAAATGACTTTTGTAGCATTATACACCATTGAACAGTATACAGTATTAATTTTTCTGAATACTAATTTTTTAAAACAACAGTAATACATAATGTCTTGGAATGAATTACAAATTTAACATTGAAAATGGAACTCAAAGTTCAAGAATTCGATGTTAATAAAGAATTATGCAGTCCCAAATTATTCACAACATGAGACACAGTGTATATATACTTAGTGTTTAAATTTTGATTAATTATTTAAAAATTAAGTAACAATTATTATGATTTAAAACATATATATGTACACAGTCAAATCTGACTAAAACAACTTGAATAAAATGGAAACATGCCTGAATTCTAAAAAATTCTTCATAATGGAGCAATTTTCTGTTAAATCTTACTATAAGCTGGAAACATACCCAAAATTCTCATCCATTTCCATATTGGACATGAAGAACATAATTTTTCTCTTTATCCAGATTAAGTTAAGATTCCACTTTTATAAAAATAAGTAAATTACCTCCATTTATAACTGTCACTTCAGTGCATGACAAACTATTCCAAGAATGATTTCAAACCTTGTCAGAGAAACAACAATATGAGACAAGGGGAGAAAAGACACAAGATCTTTATTCATATTTTATTAGAATTAACTTGGTCTTTGTTGGAATTAACCAAGGGCAGAATTGAAAATTTTCAAGAATCAAATAAGTTTCTTAAAATCAAATCCTCATTACAGTAGTTTGTGTTTGTGTAACAATAAGACAATCATCTTTTCTAGTGATTTGTCTGGGGTGTTCAGAACTTGCCTGCTATGTATGTGTGCCCCAATGTATCCATTGTTCCAACACATCTCAAAATATGTAAAACACAACAAATGAAAAACGCAATGAGTGTAATTTGTGAAAATAATGACAATAAGGTAACACAGTACTGCCAATTTGTTCTGTATGAAGTAGCTAATAACTAACTGTTACTGAATATTAAAAAAAAACAAGTTAATTTACACACTGATTATAGAGATTAAAGTAGACAATTAATTAGAGTATTGAAATTTCTGAAGAAGCTAGCCTGTAAAATAATTTTATTGCTGTATTGCAATTAGAATTTCAGACTGCAAAGCTAGACATTAGTTTTTGAAATTCAAATTGGCTTGTTTGCTGTTGCTTGAGCTCATATTTGAATACCTAGCACAAGTTCTTAAGGACAACAAGAAACTTGTTGCAACAAAACAGTTCCCAATTCTTCTATCCAAATATTTGTGACAGTTGCTGCCATGTATTGTATGTAGATATGTTTATTGTTTATAGATATTTCTAAAACTTTTTCTGTCTTTTTCTTTTGTTTGCTGATTTCCATTTGCTTTATTGCCTAAAGGGGCAATAAACTCAGTGGGAGTGGAGGGAAAGTGTATATAGCTGGTGGATGGAAAAAAACAAAAACATTTTTTTTTTTTTTTTGCATATGTAGGACAATTGAGGAGGTTACTTCCAACAAGCAAAAGAGATTGGTTGCCTCAACATTATGATCCTCCTAAGATTGTATGAAACTTTTCTGATGAAAAGAAGGATTGCTTGACAATGTTTCTTGATATTAAAAGAACACAACATTGCCATAATCCATCATTTTGGGCTTTGGGATACTTCTCCGAAGAGGTTGCACTGCATAGCACCAAAATTACCACTTGGTAATATTTTTATTAAAGTGGCAATAAAAACCCTAGTCCACTTATTTTGACATTCAATGTGAAATTGAATCACAAAGTAGACTTCAGGAAAACAGCAGAATGTTATGTTCCTATGCAATGGGACTCCTGTGCACCATACACCAAGCAATTTCATGCCATCACATGATAAGTTTGAGCAGGAAAGTAGGAAGTGATGTTGAAAACCAAAGGCAGTTTTTGTGCTATGCCACCCAGCATTTCTAGCTTGGGGATTTTTTATCAACTACAGAAAATTTGATGAATTTTTTGGGGTGACATTTTTTCCACTTTGATCTTTTTTTCATTAGATTAAACCATCATAAAAATTTTGACATGACAGAACATGTGAAATGCTTTTATGAATTTTCTAATAGTAGCTGTTTATATGTTTATTAAGTAATGTCTCTTCAATCCAGTAAAAAAACAGAAGTTTTTTTTCGGATTTAGACTATCTCACAGCCAATTCAGGTTATAAAAGCAATAAAAGGAGTTTTATAACCTGAATTGGCTGTGAGGTAGTCTACCGGAAGTTTTTTTTTTAATTGAAGAGACGTTACTTAATGTGAAATGCTGTTTAAGAATTGTGATAAAATCTGTTATTCAGAATTATTCATTAAAAAATTGTCCAAAAATGATTCCTATTTCTAATAAGTAAGTGACAACTTAACATGTTACTTTTGCTTTCTAGACTCCTAACTAATAAGGTTACCAGCATCTGCATTAATATATAAGTAAAACTGGTGGCAATAAATAATTTGAATTAGTGAAATAGTTGGCAATTTTTTAAAATTTTTCAGAGCAACCCCTGACTCTCCTATATAATCCTAGTAATTTCTCCTTCCTCTAAAGGAATCACAACAGTAACTTTTTTTACATGGCTACCTTAGCAGGATTACTTTGTCAATCTCACATATTCCCATCTTTAGTTAATATTTCAGATTAAGTCTAGTAATAGAATTTCTTTACATAAATGAAAGTAATTTTACTGTAAAAAATGAAAGTAACTGTGTTGCATTTATCTAATGTTGTTTAAGACAAAAAAAAAAAACCACTAAAACTTGTTCAAAACAGAAACCTGCCAAAAGAAAAAAAATTCAGTATCACAATTCCAGTTCACACAGGCTTTACAATATTGATATTCTATTATTATGTATATATAATGTTTTATATCATATTAATTGTTACTTAATCTTCAAATCATATTGTCATTTTTACTATTTACATAAAATGTTATATAAAAACTTAAATTTTACAACAGAACACATTCTAATAAAAAGTTATTTTTTTGTGGCTAAGAAATAATTAATTTAAAAAATAATAATTAGTTTAATTACCGTTTTTCTAATGAACACCAACCACAATAAGGATTTCTTGCTTGAAGGCATTGATCACAACTAACAAAATGATGACAAGCTTCCACTCTTACTTTACTTATCTAGAATTAACAATTTTATCAATTTGAATTTTTTGTTAAATGCTATATTAAATATATAATTTTTAAATAATAAAAATATATTTTAATTTAATTTAACTTTTTTAAATTTACTTAGAATAATTAGAAATTTTTTAATGTACAAATGACATTAAATTAAATATGTAAAAATCATATTATAATTTTCAATGGCGTGCCGTCATTGGAAGCAGTGGAAGCACCGCTTTCCTTGTATTTTTCTAAAAAATACATACATATTAATTTTAATTATATGAAAATAATCGTACAATATTTTATTATAACTGCATTATGTATCTTATTACAAATTTCTATACTACATGTGAAAAAAAAAATAAGATCACTATTGTATAATTGAATATTAGTGGCAGATTGGAAATGCTGTATTGTCAGCTTCCAAACAGCCAGATTCGTGCATGTGCTTTACAGAGCACCAACCTCATCCGGTTTAGCTGGTGGAAGCCTAGAACCTTGAGTTGATGCTACACATATAACGCTTCCAATTCTATCCAGGACTGGTTCTGGGCTGTTAGCCGCCTGCCTGCTAGATATTTGGATGCCCTCGCCTGATTACATGAATCATGAGTAGATTTTTAACTTAACCCAAGAATTTATTGGTATGTTTTTATGATAGTTCTGTATAGTTGACAGGAGTTTAAAAAAATCCATTAAAATATTTGATATTTTTATTCCACTCTCCCATCTTATATTACTTATGGATTTCAATGTTAAACCAGTGATATTACAATTTCGTATGTCCCATCTTTAAGGGGATGTAGAAAAAAACATTAAAAAACATTAAAAAACAATGTTAAAAAATTAACTGTTACTTTGTTAGCATCATACAACTGAATTTAATGAATGAGAGAGATGCACGAGGTACAGAATTTATTTTCCTTAAATTTACAATTTACGTATCAGTTGTCATAAAAATTTGTCTTTCCACTTTTTTCCCAAGACTACAAATATTCAAGTACAAAGTAACCAGTTTGACTTATTTCTACTCAAGAAGTAATTAAATAATTAAGAGATTAGGGAATTAGGGACAAAATAAAACCCTGCCGAAAGAGTTGGAATATTACTTAAAAGCTTAACCGACCCAATCTCTAGCTGAGTACAGTGGGGACTGATTTTTTTGTAATATAAACAGAAATTTTTCCAGTTCAATGAGAGTGACTGAAAAGTTGTAAATTTTGGAAATTTCCGTGGACACCTGGTCCTAAAACAAACTAGTTGGAAAACAAATGACTATTAAGTTTAACATATTTAGATTTTTACAGCTATGGTGAGAAACGTTTAAAATTTACAACAACCCTGTCATGTCCTTTGAGGTATACTAGTGATGCGACAAAAGAGGCATTTGACATTGACCAGTATCGGCACTCTGGGGATTTGACACACATGCATGCACTGCACACCTATCAAGATTATCTCTGATTCCATCCATGAGCCACTGGTAGGGAGCAATTTTAACTAAGCGGATTGTTTTAATATTTAAAAAGTAAAGACTATTTTATGTTATTTTTATTTATGTTTCTTCACAAAACTATATTTAATTATAATTTTCTTTAAAAGTATATTCATACAATTAAATATTTTGTACCAGATATGTATAATTATATATCCATCACACATTTTATTTTAACAAGTAAGTTTTTATAATTTTATTTTTAATTTTACCCTTATATTATGGCTAGCAATTTAGAATGTAATTGTGATATTGAAAATTTATTTTAAAAAAGTTTTGGCTCAAGACCATATAATGAAAAAGAAAACATTATTAAAAGAGAAAGACCAATGCCTAAATTAAATATAAATACGTCAACAAAAAAATCTGTTTGATATTTTCACAATAAAATTTATGAAGACATAAAATGGCTTTGTGAATGCATAAAAATGCAAAAATTATTTGTTGGCCTTGCCTACTATTTTCAAATAAAATTAGTGTGTGGAATAAGAATGGCTTTGACGATTTAAATCATTTAAGTAAAGCTCGCATTGATTCTTTCTTAAAATTGAAGCAATTTGGAAATCAAAGTGGAATAGAATTTAACATTAGTAAACAATATAAAATAAATATTGAAAATTATAACAAAGTTACAGCTAATAGATATATTATATCTAAATTAGTAGAGGTTATCGAAGCAAGAATTGGCATTTAGAGGGCATAGGGAATCTAATATAACAGAGGTAATTATATTATCTAATGCACTTATTTATTAAGTGCGTTAGATAATCTATTAATTAAAAATACATTTAGAGAAGTCTATGGTTTTTACTGGCTTATCGAACAAACGAATATGAATGGACCCTGGATCATCACCGACTGATTGCCCCTGGAAGTCGGCTTTTTACGAAAACACAGCTTCCCTATCATAAAATGTCACAGCATGCCACTGATAATTTTCTTTAAACTAGATGTTTGTCAAATAAATGATATAGACCATGATGTGAAAGTGGCCATTATTTAATATAATTTAAAATTATCAACAAATGATAAATTGAATAAAGTTTAAATCAACAACATATTGGATGATTTCCAAAATAGTCTCCTGCTACATGGTTTCTTTTTGTTGTAAAATAGCATTCTAATGTATAATTTGCAAATAAAATTTAAATTAAAAAATTTATTTCTAAGCATATATTTTTGTATAAATACTTCAAGAATTTAATTTCTTTAAGTGTTTATTTAAGATTTTTTATTTAAAGTAAAACATCTTAAATAAATAAAAATAAAAATAATTAATATTTGTGCCATTTTATCACTAAACTGCTATGGAGTTGCTATCTTATAATTTTAACAACTTATTTTTATTATAATTGTATACTGACTTTATTAAAACTTTAAAAACATTTAAAAAGAAAAAACAAGAACTTAAATAATTATCTTGGTCAAACTGGATAAATGTGAATTGCAGATTCAATATCTATTTCAAATAAAGTTTTTTTGTTTTTGTGTGATTTTGTTTTGTTCATCTATTACTAATCACATATTTTTAGTGTTCCATGCCAAGCTATCTCCTAGCTGTAATAGCAACTTATAATTATATACTATAGAGTTAAATATATAGTTAGTGTTAGAAATAAACAATTTTAAGTTTAAAATAAATATATTATTTATATATTTAATTAACAAAAAAAAATTAATCAATACAAAGGAGTATAATTAGATTAAAATACAATATAAAATGGCACTAATTACATGGTTTGTATAAATAAAACTGCTCTCTAAATTCTGGATTTTTTAAAGTTTGTTAACAGTTTGGTTGTCTGTACAATGAGTAACTTGTAACAAAAATATATTGAAAGATTTAAGATATTAACTGCACTTAGAGCATATCCAGTTTGTAAACAAGTTTAAAAAATTGTCATTCTAATTAAAGGATTCTAACAAATCCTCCAATTAGAATGCAAAAAGATTTTGGCATTTTTTAACACATTTTTATCAAAAATCATTTAGAAGCTTAACCTGCTAAATTTTATTTGCAAATTTTTATGGTTTTAGGTATTGTTAGATTTTGCAATTTCTGAGATTTTTTATACAGCAATAAGTGAAATAAGTAAATAAATAATGAACAAAATAAAATTTTAATATCAATAAAATTTAAATAGCTGTACATGACAACTGGGCCTTATCGTATTATTAGGACTATTAGGTGTACTGGTTATTTGCAAAAGGAGGAGATCTTAATCAGAATAACAAAAAAATATCCTTATTTTTCACCTGTTGTTTTCCCTGTACACATAATACACATGATATTTGTGTTTTGGACTAATAGGTCCCTGTTCAGCAGGTTTACCACAATGATGTTCTAAAATAACGTACATAACAATTAAAGATTTTATATTACAAAAATTTTTAAGCAATACTAATGGATGCGAAATAAATTTAAACACAATTAAAATTAAGAAAAAGAAAGCAACAATTTTAAATATCAGTTATTTGAACATATCTACATAAAAAGACAAAGCAATAAAATCAACAATAACTTAGGATGGGAAATCCACCAATCATGGCAGAGCATAATGACAACAGCAATAGGCAAAGAGTATAAAAAGAAGAAAGTGATAGGTGATAGGTAATTTATTAGTTTGTAAATTCCTCCCATAGCATGTGGTCTGCGGGGTTGAACAAAAGAACAGTTATAACAATGAATAGTCAGCACCATGGCGTGGTTTTATACACATAGGTTTATTGGGGACAAATATGGACTAATTGAACAATACATGATACAAAAGTTCAATCACATTACAATAATATTCTTACTCCGATTATCCCTCTCTTGACCTTCCTTCCTTATGCCGCTAAACCCTCCTTTTTTTTTTTTTTTTTTTTTTGTGTCATTGTGAATTGATTTTCGCCTCAACCTATTGTGGAGGTTAAGCGTGAGAAGTCGTTTGACCCGTTAATTATTTTATTTTCGGTATACGCTTCGGCACTAGGACAAAGTTTAAATTTTGCCATAGAACCTAAGGGAGTTAGCCTACATACTGAAAACTTTTCCAAAAATAGAATTTCCTCGCTTATGTAAATGCCTAAAAAATTCAAAAAGATAACGAGCAGAATTGAGAGATTTTAAGTTAACAAGACAAATTCTCTAGCTTTTCTTTTTTTT